GGGGGGGGGGGGGCGTCTGCCCCGGGCCCACGACTGGTTGAGGGGCTGGGTGCACACTAGCAGATGCCCTCACCTGTCATGGGTGAGAGTAGGGGAGGGCCCATCCTGAGCGGAGGAGCAGAAACGGACCAGGAGTGCAGGGACCACCATCCAGCTCCCCGGCCGCCTCCACAGGGCTAGAGAGGTCGAGACAGCCTGGACCAGCCAGGCCTGGTCCGAAAGGACCGCCTGGGCCGGAGAAGGGGGGCAGGCCTTACTTTAGGACGGAGCGGGGGATTATTTAACCACTTCAATCCCCGGCCAGCCAGGACGCGCTTCCCGGGCCACCCAGGTCGTACGGACACCGCGGGGCTGGACTTCCGCCAGGGCCAGCATGCAAGAGCTGGGCCAAGGGGCGGGGCAGGGCCGGAGCCAGAGCCAGGGGAGGGGCCTCGGGAGCCTCGCGGGCTGGGGGCGGGGCCTCGGGGGGAGGGGTGCCTCGCCGGCTGGGGGCGGGGTGCCGCCGCGATATAAGCGAGCGCGTCCGCGCGTGCGCACCCCCGCGCCCCGGTCCTTGATCGGCCTCCTGCCGTCTCTTCTGCAAATGGGCTCCGTGGCCTAGCGTCCCCGTCCCCGCCACCCGTGATCGCGCGCCGAGGCCCGCGAGGGGTCGCCGCCGAGGTGAGAGCCAGGGCAGCGTGTGGTGGGGCCGAGCGGGGGGCGGGGGCGGCTCTGCGCGCGACGGCTGGCCGGACGGCCCGACCGGCGGACAGAAGGACGCGGGGTGGGACTCGAGCTGGGGCCGCATGGGGCCGGGGACGGGCGGGGATGGGGGCACGGGTAGGGGTGGTCGGGCTGGGCGGGCGTCGGCCGGTCCCCGGAGCCCCCAGTGGGCCGTCCTGCGCACAAAGCGCCTTTGTTCGCCCACGCGGCCGGTTCGGGCCGGTTGGCGCCGCCCCGCCCCGCGCCGCGAAGGCGGACCGGGCGTCCCGGAGCCCCGCCCCGGCGGGGCCGACAAACCCCGCGTCGCCGCCCCTCCCGGGAGCCCGGTGCCCACGCGCAGTGCGGGAGGGCGGCTCAGCCCGAGTGGCGGGCGCTCCTCCCGGGGGCAGCCGATGACCGAAGGGGCTCCCCGACGCCCCTGCGCAGGTTTCCACCAGCCCACAAGCAGGAGCATGGCAGCCATCCCCTCCAGCGGCTCGCTCGTGGCCACCCACGACTACTACCGGCGTAAGTAAGCCCCTTGCCCAACAGGTCTGACCCTGGTCCCCCACCCTAGCTTGTGGTGTTTCCAGCTCTTTGAGAACCCCTATCTGGGTGGGAGGTGGGCTGCCCAAGACCCCTGGCCCTGCCGCTGTGCTGCCAGCAAAGCCAGCGCTTGGCCTGTGGGGTGGTCTGGCGGCTCCGAGCTGACGTGCATTTCTCCAGGCCGCCTGGGTTCCACTTCCAGTAACAGCTCCTGCGGAAGTGCCGAGTACCCTGGGGAAGCCATCCCCCACCACCCTGGTGAGTGCAGGTCCACTCCCCTCTGCCCTGGGGGACGGCCTGGAGGGGACCCACCAGGAGTGGGCGGCAGCACCATGACCCCACTTTGCTTTTGTTAGGTCTCCCCAAGGCTGACCCGGGTCACTGGTGGGCGAGCTTCTTTTTTGGGAAGTCCACTGTCCCGTTCATGGCCACAGTGTTGGAGTCCCCAGAGCAGTGAGTTCACCTTCCTGGGGGCCAGTGTGGGAGGCCCGGCACGTGGAAGCAGCCTCTGACCATACACTCTCTCCCAGCTCGGAATCTCCCCAGGCCTCCAGCAGCGTGATCACCTGTGACCTGGCCTGGGACACTGCAAGGAAGCAGCCTGGCAGCCAGCCTGGCAAAGCCAACGCTGGGCCTCCATCCTGAGTGGCTGCCACCAGCCTTCCAGAGGCGCTAGGCTCTTCAGAGCCCCTCCCCACCCTGCCCGCCCCCTAGATTAGGCAGGCTGCTGCAAATAGAAACACTTGGGTTCTTTTATATCGAAACAGCAAAACACTTCTTTTATATCGAAACAGCAAAACACCAAAAAGGAAGTTGAGAGAACCTGGCTCTGTATTATCCGAGCCGCACAAGAGCCTTCCTGACACCTGTAACCCTGTGCCTTGCACCAAGTGGAAAATAAATGCCAAGTGGCCAGCAGCCTTGGTGGTGTGTGTGAGCTGCGTGCCCCGAGGCCCATGGGTGAAGTCACTGAACCCCACTCAACCTTTTCATTTCCTGTTGGGGTGGGGAGCTGGCCCTGCTCCCTGGGCCTTCCTGGGCCCCTCCCTGGAGGCTGCTGCTGTGGTCTGGCCCAGGTTCACGTGTGCAAGCTGCTTCAGCGAGTGTGGAGCCTTGCACCTGAGAAGAGGTGGGTGTCTTGCTGTTTGGAGGAACCTGGGAGAGCAGGCAGTTTAGGAACTGGATGGGAACCCCCAGGGCAGCCGTTGAGGTCAGGGTCCTCTGAGTCACTCAGCTCCTGCCCCGGTGGCCGCTGTAGGAGGCTGGGTGTCTGGCCATGGATTCAGGAGCCCTCAGCTGGAGGGACCTTGATGAGGTCCCCGCTGACACCAGGGAAGGAGGTGAAGGGACAGGACAGAGGCTGTGTCTCCCAGCTGGGTGGGGCAGCTCCTGGGGGCAAGCACTGGGCCACGCTGTCTCCCAGGTGCCTTCCCTTAAGAGTGTCACTTCTTCTAGCCTGTGGTAGGACACAGTCTGGTCAGGGCTCCCCAACCCTGCGGCAGGTCTGTGGCCTCAGGCACCCAAAACTGGGGCTGAGGTGTGGGAGTGTGGGGGCGCTCCAGAGGGCCCTCCCCACCACGGACAGCTCAGCTTTGGGCTAGGTCCAACTCAGAGAGCGAGGGAGGCTAGTTGTGTCATCCTCTGGCTGGACTCCTCGGGGACAGGTGTGAGTGGAGGACTGGCTGTGCCACATGCCTCCAGTGGCCAGCAGAGATTGACCCAGGTCTGTTGGTCAGCTGAGGGCTCCAGGAGAGGGCAGCTTAGTTGAGGGGGTGGTGGGGTTGGAGTAAGGTCTGGGGCTCAGTGAGGGGAGTGGCCTCCACTGGCTAGTGGGCCAGGCTCAGCTGTCCCCTGAGGGGCCCATCCTCCCTTCCTGCCAACCCACCCCTGCTCTGTGCTATAAATAGCCACAAGAGCCCATTCCAGGGCATCTGCGTAGTTTGTGGCCCCTGAGGGCTGCAGCTTCTGTCCTTGTCTGCCCTCAGCATGTACAGGCAGGCTGCAGGGTGGCAGACAACCTCACCCAGGTTTCCTAAGGCCAGTGGTCAGTGCAGAGGCTGGGTAGAGGAGATCCTCATTCCCACTGTCTTAGATGGCTCCGGGGGGTAGTCCCCCCAAGGGTAGTCTGAGGCCTACCCAATTTTTCTGGCCAGTGTCCAGACCAGGCCCTCAGAGCCCCTGGTGGCAGCTGCTGATGGCCGTGGAGGAGGACAGGGACAGCTGCCTGGCTTGGGCAGCAGCAGTGGGGCCACCACCAGGCGGCCTGTCTCGTGGAGTGCTGGGGAGTCCATGCTCTCTGAAGTCTACAGGGCAGGCAGGGTCGAGTGACAAAGGGTCAATGCAGCCAGAGCTCAGGTCCCCACCACGCATGGCTGAGGGAGGCTCAGCCGTGGTCCTGACAGCTGGTGGGCTTTGGGTCGGGACCAGGGACAGGTCCACTCCCTTTAAAAGAGGAGTTGGCCAGGGAGGGCCGGCACTTTCCAGGAGCTAGTGGCTTGGAGCAGACCTGAGGAAGGGGCAGCCTCAGCCCCCAGACTGCAGACCAGGATGGGGCAGGCCAACGGTCCGAGGAACTCCTCCCCCAGCGTGTGCAGCCTGGTTCTGGGAGCTGTTTGCACCTTAGGCAAATCCTCAGTAAATCAGAGGGTCGGCCTAGGCCCTTGATCTGAGGTCTGGAAGAGCACCCCCACCCCTGCTCACAGGGTCTGGCCTTGCTGCCTCTAAGGCAGCGGCAGGGAGGGCGGAGGTCAGTGCGGGTTCTCGTATCTGGTGAAGCTGGAGAGCTTCTCCCACAGGGCTTTGAAGCAGGGCCTCTGCTCTGGGTTCCTGTGCCAGCACGACAGCATCAGCTTGTGTGTGGTGGGCGGGCACTCCAGGGGGCAGGGCATGCGGTAGCCCGCCTCCACCTTCAGGAAGGCCTCATGGTTGGACATGCCTGTGGCAGTGGGGACAAGGGGCTGCAGGGGCTGGGAGGCTGGTGCCCACCTGCCCCACCCCACCCCCAGGAAGTCACGCCCCACCACCAGCTACCGCCCCCCCCCAGGAGTCCTGGGCCATGCTCTCCCTCTGTGTGCCCTGCACACTCCCTTCTAGACGTGACTCCGGGGAGGCAGACCCCTCCCACTGCCTACAGTCAGGGACACTGTGGGGGCCCAGTACCTGGATAGGGCATCTGACCCCTGCTGAAAATCTCGTGGAGGAGAACCCCAAAGGACCAGACGTCAGATTTGATGGAGTAATGCCCTTGAGAGAGCGCCTCGGGGGCGGTCCACTTGTAGGGGACGTTGTGATTGTGGGAAAGATAGATGTTCTCCTGCAACCAGACACATGCTGGGGGGCGGGGCCGGCCTGGGCACCTGCCCCCTCCTGCTCCCCCTCAGCAGGGACTGGCAGGTGGGCAGGATGCCTGGTGGGCTGGGGTGTGGCTGCCCTGCTCTGGGAGTGGGCCTTGGTGACACCCTGCCATGACACGCTGCTGTCTAGGCTGCCACTACAAGGAGATGCTCTGACACTTGGACACGAGCAGGCGGGCCCTGGGCCGCCAGAAGTGCTGCTTTCCCTCAGATTCGGGGCCAGGGGAGGACAGGCAGGTGGGCAGCCAGGAAGTCAGGGTCAGGAAACGTGTGGCCCTCCTGGGTTGTGTCAGAGGAGCCCAGAGGTGGCCAGTGTGAGCACGAGTGAGGACAGTGACAGCCACCTGGAGCCCGAGTCCTAAGTTCATAGAGATGCCAAAAAATGACTGATTGGCCACCACTGGACAAACTTGGAAAAGCCTGCCTTCCCGTCAGACCTGTCCCACTGCTGGCCACGGAGTGGAGGAGCGACGTGTGTCTTTCTAGAAGCGTCCAGCTTACAATGAGGAAGGAACCACAACATCAGCATGTCACCCCCGTAAGCGAAGGGATCTGACGCTGGCCATCCGTGGCCGGTAGTGTGGTGAAAAAAGAGGCAGATGGTGCCCCATCCAGCCAACTCACCGCACCCCATAAACCAACGGACCTCGCCCCAGCTACCAACAAACCCTGTCCCACCTGCCAACAGACCCCGCCCCAGAGGACCGAATGGCACACCCAGAGCAGTGGGCTGCACGGAGGAGGGACAGAGAGTCTCAGACTGAGTTGCAGGGAGACGCGAAGAGGAGCAGTGGGTTAGGAGAGACTTAAGAAGCAATCAAGAACTGTGATGCGTGGGTCCGCTCGAAAAGCGAACCAAAGTGAACTCGTGGCATTTGCAGGAACTGAGAACTTAGCTCTGAGAGGGCAGGTGATGACGTTAAGGAGTCACTGTTGATTTTAACAGTGTGATGATGGCATTGTGGCTGTTTTGTTTGGAGTCCTTACGGGGATGCTGAGGTGCGCACCTGCCAGGGACTTTGGTCTAAGAAATGTGGAGGGAGGGAGGCAGTGGGGGGCTGGCCAATGATGGGTACATGGAGGCTCTTTACACTATTCTCTCCACATTTGTCTTCAAAACCCTCCATTGTAAACAAGTTTCCTTTGTGTGGGTGGCGGCTGGGGAGCGTTTGCCCCAAGCTCACAAACCACGCCCGGCCTCTCCCCTGGTTGAATGGCAGGAGGCCGGGGCAGTGACACTGAATGGACGAATGAGCAAATGAGTGAGTGAAGAATGGGTCCCTGCTCCTCCCCACGGCCAAGGAACCCTGAGCACCAGCCCCTGCTGCACTGCAGCCCACCCACTCAGCAGAGACTTTTGCTCTTCGGACCACCCCTACCCCAGCCTCTGGTCCCTTTGTAGCTTCCCTTTCCTCCTGCGGCTCCTGGACTCATCCGTGTGCCTCCACGGCCCTGCGTCTTACCCATCAGAGCCACAGCTGCTTCAGCCTCCTGTCCCCCGCTTGACCTGGGCTCCCTGAGGGCAGGGAACCCATGGGAATCCCCAGCTTCAGGCACAGAGGAAGCCCCGTGCCCCTCCCCTGCGCCCTCACCCCAGTTCCGCACCCTCCACCCTCTGCTCCTCGCCCTCTACCCTCCGAGGGCCCCACCTTGAGGGCCCCACCTTGACGAGCCTGGCCAGCCCGAAGTCCCCGACCTTGCAGATGTGGTTTTCCCCCACGAGGATGTTCCTGGCAGCCAGGTCCCGGTGGATATAATTCTGCGATTCCAGGTAGCACATGCCCTCGGCCACCTGCGATGCGATGTCACCCAGCTCTGAGCCAGGCAGGGCTTTCTCGTCGGAGTCTGCAGAGATGAGGGGAGGCCAGGATCAGCAATGCAGGCCTCTCTCTGCCATGGGCTCTGCAGACTCCTGGGCTCAAGCAAGGGCCGGTGCAAAGGGCAGTCGGTCTGATTAAAAATTGGAGCAGTGGACCCACCCTTCTGGAAGGCAGTTATGTATCGAGCCAAAGCGAAGTTCAAACATACCCTTTTCCCCACATTTGCGTTCCGGGAGTCTACACTAAAGCAATAGGAACTCAATAAGTGCAAAAACATTCACCACAGCATCGTTTACACAACTGAAAACCTCAAGAAGGTTCAACAGCAGGCGATTGGCTAAATGGGCGCAGCTCATCCACATGGCCATGCACAGACTGTCAAAAACTACATTTCTGAAGAACCTTCAATGACATGGGAAACTGCTTGCAATGATCAAGCTTATATGGAAAATTTTACATTCAGAGTATTCTGAGTGTTGATCTGTGAAAATATGTCCCCAGATGTGCACACACTCGTCCTTGGTCATTCACCCTGCCGTGCACGCTCCTTCCCAGTTAACATCTTGGGACTCGGGCGGTCTGCACACAGTGGCACCTCAACTTGTTGGCAACAGTTATCTTTGGTTTGAGTGTTACATGAAATAATGGGGCTTGTTACAGATGACAAGGTCTCTGAGTCAACAAGATACATCAAGTGTGAGTGTGTGTATAAGTGTGCATGTCTGTGAGTGTGCCTGTGTAAGCGTGCATGTGTGGTGTGACTGCGTGCAAGTGTATGAGCGTGTCTTGTGTGCACGTGTACGTGTGTGGTGTGTGTGCAAGTGTGCACGTGTGTGCTGGTGTGTAAGTGTACGTGCACGTTCAAACACCAGAAGGGGGGCGGTGCCTTCTAGGAAGAGAGAAAAGCAGTAAGAACCAGGCCTGCATGTTCCAGAAGCTGGAGGGGTGGGCAGACCACTCCGGGCGTTAACTGTGGGCACAGGAATTATGAGTAGCTCTTCTTGTCTTATTTGTACTTATCTGTATTTTCTCAAATTCCTACAATGAACAGATGGAACATTTATCACAAGATATTTTAAATCATTTCTTAAACGGGATGGGGCTGGCAAAGGCATCAGAGCTCCCTGGCTGTCTGTGCGTGGCAGGGGGGTGATCTGGGTTTTCTTTTTCTTTCTTTGTGTTTCCCACTCCCTGCCGCGAGCACGGGTCACTTTCATCCCCCGGAAAGGGGCCGCTCACCCCGCAGCAGCTGCAGCAGACTCCCCTTGGGCATGAGCTCAGTGATGATGTACACGGGGTCCCCCACGGACGCCACGGCGTACAGTGCCAGGATGTGCTTGTGCCGAAGCTTTTTCATGGCCTGGATCTCCGCCTGGAATGTGTGCTGGTGCAGGAGGTCATCTGCAGGGGCGGGCAGCCTTGTGGGTGAGGCCCCACGCAGAAGGCCAGGCCCCTGTCGCTCACCCACCCACCGCACATAGCAGCTCCCAGGCCAGGGTGCCAGGGCAGACACAGTGTGATCCCAGGGTGCCCCAGCACCCTGGCCTCATGTTCACATGAGCAGACAGCTCCCACTGCACCCCGGGCACCACCAATACCCCCGTTTGGCCAGCGCCTGCCCAAGCGAGATGCAGAGCCCAAACATCACCCGTGTGTTCCCACGCACCCCTGGGCCTCTGATTCCTGAAGTGGGGATCCAAACCTCTAATGGGTACCAAGGAGATTTTAGATGAACCTTTTCAGGTTTCTAGCGATCTATTTATCTTAATGTCTTTACATTAAGAATTTAAAATTCCCTTTTAAAATAAATGCGTTTAGGTAAAAACATACAATTGAAAGGAAAATGCCACTTCAATCCCGCTGTAGGTACCACAAGTTAGGGTGATGTGTGGCACAGGGGACATCAGGGCCCTGGGCTGGCTTGGCTGCCCCCACCCCAGTGAGCAAGGCCGGAAGTCTCTGTTGGTGGGACTGGCAGGGGAGGGCTGGGGGTCAGGCAGGGTCCCTGGCCTGGGGCCCACTCACCTCGGGCGATCACCTTAATGGCTACTCGGACCTGGTCTTTCCAGAGCCCTTCGAAGACCTCCCCGAAGTAGCCAGACCCCAGCTTCCTGCAAAGCGTGAACTCCTCCCTCGGCCTCTCCCAGTCGTCGCAGTGGGGCAGGGGCTCAGGCTTGTGCTGGAGGGACAGACAGTGGACACAGGGTAGGGAGGGGTGCTGTCCCCATCACCTCGTCCATCCTTCAGGAATTCCCCGCTCTGACTCCAGCAGGGGGAGCCCCTGGTCCATGCTCAAATGTAGGGCGCCGTTCAGCTTGGAACCGTCCCAGTGTCCGGCATGTGGGCAGGGGCTGCCCTCAGCCTGGCTGAACCCTGCTGTGTCATGCAAACACATGCCACCCTCCCCGCCTACTCTGGGCCAGTGACTGGCCTGAGTGTCACTCAGACAAAACTGTCCAGCTGCTGGCCAGGGTGCATGATCCTTGTCCCCAGGCTCCCACCAGCCCAGAGAGACTCAGGATGTGACAGGAGCACAGCTAACCTCTCGCTGGTCCCGGGGTGAGAGTGACCAGCAAAGGAGGGCACATCCCCTGCCCCACCCTCCTGCTCCCACACCTGGCTCTGTGGAACCACAGCTTCCAGGCAGCCAGAGTCCCCAGGGCCCAGTCCCCTCCAGCCAGTCAGTGCCTAGGGACACACACCCACCCTGTGTGACCCTGAGGGTCTGTGTCATTGAGGAGAGAGGGGTGTAGGTGGGCAGGGGCAGGGCGGGGGTCTGGCAGCCCTACCTTCCAGCAGGGCACTGTCAGCCGCAGGCCGTGGGACAGGCTGTGGGCCTTGTGGTGGTCCACGAGCTCGGGCAAGCTGGGGAAGGACACGGCCTGGTTGAGGTGCAGCCGACCAGCACGCCGCCAGATCTTGTAGTGCCGCACGGCCTGCGTGTCCCGCACTGGGGTGCAGGGGGCATGGGCAGAGGGAGAGACGCCCGTGAGCAGGCGCACTTGCCCCCGGGGCCCCTCAGAGAGGAGCTCGCAGGTCAGGGGGCAAAGTGGGCACCACTCCCAGCATCGTGCCCCGGGGTGCTGCCAACAGGGAAAGGAGAAAACCGAGACCCTGGACGCCAGGGACACGCTGTGCCCACTGGCAGGGCTCAGAGCTCCCTGGAGGGCTAGGGCATTGAGGATGCTGCAGGGAGACGGAGGAGACAGGCCAGAGGGAGCCGGGCTCTCCGCATGCAGGGAGGGTTCAGGGGCAAGGAGCCCCGGAGTCAAGCAGGAGTGGGGCTGCAGATCAGGGGAAGGGGCGAGGGGCTGTACCCGAGAGGACGTAGTCGGCGCCTGGCTTCTCGCTGACCCTGATCAGGAAGGCGCCCAGCCCGTTGCCCTCGGCCTGCAGTCTGTGCAAGGCTTCTGAGCGGGAGATTCGACCAAAGAACCACCTGGCGGGGGGGGGTTCCTGAGCCTGCTGACCCCCACCCTGCCCACCCTGAATCCCAGCACCCTTACTTGACCCTCTGCCTCCTCGTGCTCCCGAGCAAGACCCACAGCTGCCCTCTGATAGTGTCCCCCACCCAGAGGCCCCTTCCTTGCCCATCATAGACCCCAAACGGCCAGTTATGGACACCAGGAAAGGCCCTCGTGACCAGGAAGAGGTGAAGCAGGCACCTCCCACCACCCTGCCCAGATGTCTCCGGTCCCAGACACGTGCCATCCCATCCTGTGGGACTACATCCTTCTGTGATTCTGGGACCACTTCCTGTGACCCGGGCCACAGACACTGGGCTCCAGCTCCAAGGACCTCGGGTTGGGCTTCTAGGCAGAAAGGCAATGCACACATGCCCTTGCACTCACACACATGCACGCACATGTTCACACACATGCACCACACACACACGCATGCACCCACACGTTCACACACATGCACCCACACACATGCATGCACCCACACATTCACAATCATGCACCCACGTGTTCACACACATACACCCACATGTTCACACGCATGCACCCCACCCACACGTTCACACGCATGCACCCACGTTAACATGCATGCACCCACGTGTTCACACGCATGCACCACACACACGCATGCACCCACACGTTCACACGCATGCATCCACACACACATGCACCCACACATTCACACACATGCACCCCACACACACGCATGCACCCACACGTTCACAATCATGCACCCACGTGTTCACACACATGCACCCACATGTTCACACACATGCACCACACACGCATGCA